AGGTTCCAATGCGTGTGCAAATTTTCAAGAGTTTTTGAATATGTTAAGGCCCCCAAAAAAAAATTTTTGGTTGAAAAAAAAAAAAAAAAAAAAAAAAAGGCAATATAGTGCATGAGCCATATGAACTGCTGTTATGTTTGTAATGTTTGTTAAGAAGGTAAAATGGTTCATTTAAATTTTATTTCTAACTTTTAAGACTTAAATTTCAGTCTGGTCCTCACACAAAGCTATAGCTTCGGATGACTTGGAATATAGTGCTCTAGTAGTAAGGACTGCTTTTCTGGTGCTTCCTATTTTGAGCTTGACAGTGTGAATCATCTTCCTTTTTCGTCTCCTTTTATGTTCCATAGAAAAGCAGGAAGACATGCTTGCAACAACATGAGTGCGAGTAAATTACATAACTTATTTTTTTTTAGGTGAACTGTCCCTTTAAAGACACCCAGTCTCTTAATGTGAAGGCCCTGCTATCTTTCACAACATTTCAGCTGTTCAGACTGATGTAAGAGCAGCTGGTCTCAGGACTCTGGCAACCCATTTCGAGTCTGGCATTTCTGAGTAGTTTGGGTTCTATTCATGGGTTGGGCTTGTAAGGTAAAGAGCATTTCAACTCCTCCTTCACAGACTGCAGACCGCACCAGTGCTGATCTCTGTGGAGTGTCATCACAGCACTCCAGAGTGTCGTTCATGTAGTCTTTGCTGCATATTGAGTGATTGTTCGGCACCCTGTGTACAACACATCATTACGAGATGAGCTATGAGCAGAAGAAATGATATTTTTAGACTGACTCAGTAGTGTAATGACTGAAGGGAAACCATCCATCTGTCAGCAAACTTTCATTTATTGGTGGTATTTATCATTCGTTTGTTTTTTCTAACTTTCCATGTAACGGTCTGTCATGCAGATGTTCATCTATCTATCTATCTATCTATCTATCTATCTATCTATCGTCAGTTTTATCCATCCATCCATCCATCCATCCATCTATCTATCTATCGTCAGTTTTCATCTATCCATCTATCTATCCATCTATCTGTCTGTGTGCATCTATCTATCTATCTATCTATCTATGTATCCATCTATCTATCCATCTATCTATCTATCTATCTATCTATGTATCCATCTATCTATCTATCTATCTATCTATCTATCTATCCATCTATCTATCTATCGTCAGTTTTATCCATCCATCCATCCATCCATCCATCCATCTATCTATCTATCATCCATTTTATCCATCCATCCATCCATCCATTGTCCGTTTTATCTATCTATCTATCTATCTATCTAGATGGATGGATGGATGGATGGATGGATGGATGGATAGATAGATAGATAGATGGATAGATAGATAGATGCACACAGACAGATAGATGGATAGATAGATGGATAGATGGATAGATAGATAGATGCACACAGACAGATAGATAGATAGATAGATAGATGGATAGATAGATGGATACATAGATAGATAGATAGATAGATAGATGCACACAGACAGATAGATAGATAGATAGATGGATAGATAGATAGATGCACACAGACAGATAGATAGATAGATAGATAGATAGACAGATAGATAAAACGGACAATGGATGGATGGATAAAATGGACGATAGATAGATAGATAGATAGTGGTTGTAGTGAATCTGTCAGAGATTGTTTGGCTGCTGTTTTGCAGCTGGTCTGATGAATGCGGCTCATCGCTGTGGGAAACACAGGACACAGCAACACAACACTGAGCGCTTTGGCGTCTCTCAGCGTCTCCATGGCGGCTCCTGCGGCTCGTTTTCTGTTCTTTTGTCATCAAAATTTGTAGATGAACAAACACAGAGACGAAGCCAAGAGCAAACGGATGAACACACACACTGCCCAGATCCACTGTGAGCTGCTGCTGATGGGAAGAGACTGGTTATTACTCTCTCATTTCAGAATGTGTTTGTGTTACTAGCTCAGTGTGTGTGTGTGTGTGTTAATCAAAAACAAAACTGTTATGCATGAATGAATTCAATTACTAATGTTATTGAATATTTTGTCCCATAGAGAAATCTTAAGGATTGAAGTCATTTTTATTTTACGTCGTAACAGAACAGATTTCAGACAGAAGGGAAACTGGTGTAATTCATGGAAGCCCAGACTTTAAAGTCTGTAGTTTAACTGTGTTATTTCTCTGCACTGAAGTGTCAAGCGGCTCACGCAGAGCTTTAGTTTACTCAGCACTTGTTTGGAGTTTTTCTCTTTTCATCTTCTGGCAGTGCATCATTAAAACAAGTAGAGTGTTTTTAAAGTCACACCAGTGCAACATCTGACAAATACTGA